AAACCCCTCATTTTGAGGGGTTAACTCATTTTAACCCCTCTAGAGGGGTTAACTTAATCCTTCTATATTTTTTATGTTTGGCAAATTATGAAGGGTTAACTCACTTTAACCCTTATATAAATTTGTTGTGTTTGACAGGTTAAGAAGGGGTTAAATCTCCTTAACCCCTCACTTAACCCATTGCCAAACGGTACCTAAGAGAAATAAAACTAGTTTCATGTAATTTCTAGAGTTCCAATAAGAATTAATTCACATCTAAGAAAAGAGGCAATTCCCTAGAGGGTTCTAGCCTCAAGGTGAATCAAAGAAAATAAAAATTAAACAAAATAAAAACTAATCCCAAGAGGGTTCTAGTTTCAAGGCGAATAGTATAAGAAAATAAAAATCTAAACTACAAAATAAATTGCAAGAACTAAACTACACAAGAATTAAATGCAAGAAATAAAAGCATGAAAGTAAATCTACACTACAAGACATTAATGTAAATCTAAACTACTAAGCAATAAGAAAAGAATTAAAGAGAAAATAAAAACAAACCTTCAAATTGATCTTCATCTTCATCTTCATCATCCAACAAATAGAAGAAAAATATGTTTTCTGTTTGACCTTAAAAGTATCCGCATTGGTAGTTTATATGATGTATCATTAACTCACTTTACAAAAGTAGAATATTCATACGTACTGGAGTTTCTTTCTTTCAATGCTTCTGTCATTCAGCCACACACATCTTGATGAACCTGGAAGGGTTGAATGGGAAGGCCTCTCATCAGGGACCAAGGCAGCAGCTGCTGGTACGGTCATATTATTTGACACCATCTCTTTGACATGCATGTTTATTACAATGATTTTTCTTCGAGCATTAGTTATGTTCAATCAATTTATTAATGTTACATGTCCACTCTTATGGCTGGTCCTTTCAATAAGCTGGTATAAACATCTCATTGTCCAGTCTTTCAAGGGTAAGAAAGTTTGAAACTTAGTATACAGTAGAATACATACAATCCTATCAAGTTCCAGTGTTATTTTATTTGCTGTGGGAAACATTTCTTAATTCACTTGTTACTGTTTGCTTTATACAGATAACTAATGAATACTTAATTTGTTGTTTGATGCTATTAGGTCGACACAGCACATGAGAAAATATATGCCGATGTTGGTATTGTCTTGATCCTTAGTTTTTATTTATTTCTTGTATTTATATATTTGTAATACTCTAGTCAATGGCAGTATATTTGACTTGGAAATAATTAAAGCCCAAGGTTCCCCATACATAAAAAGTAAAAAACTACCATGAAACATACCTTTTATGTTGCAGGGTGCCAATCATGAAGGTTTGATTTGGTGTGCTATAAGGGACTGTTAATTTCCATGGCAAATTTATTACTGCATTTATTTTCCTGTTTGTGTTAACAGCTTATTGATAGAAAACGTTGTGTGTGAAATATCTCTTTCCTGCTGTTGCATCTCCTGACATATTTTTCCTGCTTTGTGCAGTCTTTCATGTGCCCCTCAGAAATAAACGATTTCCCAATGACTAATTCAACTCATATCAAGGTGTGTTTTTGGCCACTTAGTAATTATTTCCTAAATAATTTTTTTTTTGTGTTCAGTCATTGGTTTTTAGTTTACTTCATTGTAAGTATCGATACTTAATTAATTAACACTTTGAACATGCTGTGCCTTATTTTTCCTCCGTTTTGCATTACAAAGATAATCCGATTTACTTTTTCTTATGCTCATTTGCTCATTCCTGAAAGTCTTACCTTCTTTTATAGGAGGGATTATCTGTGTTGGCAAAGTTCGAAGGCCTCTGCTTGTCCACGTAGAGGTAGTTTTGAATTCTGAAAGCAACCATGAACCATGATAGCAAAGGTTCTGATGTTCGGTCCTATGAAACATATCTTAGGACCAGTCCACCCTCATGGTAACTTGGCAACCACATTTTCCTTTTTGCTACTTGTTGGAGGAGTCTCAATTGCTATTTCGTACTGAATGTAGATGAATTAGTGTTTATCATATATTTTTTATCAAAAGAAAAGTATCGATGGACGGATTTTCCATGCACAGGTAGCATTCGGCCGAATGATGCTTCAACAACTTGGATGAGTAAATGCAATTGGATTCTATAAATTATGCAAAGTTCATCAAGTTATGTAAATAATTGTATTCTTTATTATCTATGTAAATAATTTATGTATCTCTCTAGTATTTTGGTGAATGTATTATTTGAATATAATTGTATTTGATGTTAAAATATAGTTAGATTGTGTTGGATATGAATATGATTTGGTGTTGTGTAATATTGTGTACATGTACATGTGATATTATATATTGTGCAACGTAGATTTGCAAAAAAAAAAAAAATATTATAGTATAGCAACAATTCCGTCTAAGTTGCTACAGTAACTGTCTGTGTTGCTACAGTAACAACCTAGACGAAAATTCCGTCTAGGTTGATACAGTGCTGCCTAGACGGAAATTTAAATTCCGTTTAGGTTGTATTCCGTCTAGTTTGGTCAACCTAGACGGAATTTCGTCTAGTTTGACTCAAACTAGACGGAATTAACCTAGACGGATCAACCTAGACGAATGTCCATTTAGGTTGATCAACCTAGATGGGATTCCAAGCAACCTAGACCGAATTTTTGGTCTAGGTTGCACGTTTTTCTACTAGTACAAACAAGAGATATTGTACGAGCAACGTTCTCCTGAACAAAGTTCTAACAACGTTCTCCCTTATCTAGTCATGATTCACATGTTGGGTGTCATATTCAAGTCTAGAAACCTCACTTAACAGAGTTACTAATATGAAAGATGGAAACTAGATACAATACGTGACACAGAAGACTTGAAATGTTATGGGCTACATGTCGAAGAAACTGCATGCATATGTTATCTGATGCCATGCCTGTTAGAGTTTCTTTGAAAGATGAATTTGCAATTTAAATAGCATCAGACAGTAGTCAATTTTTAAGAATCTAAAATCATGCAGTGTTGCTGATCTTTATTTCGTTACAGCTTATTTGTACAACAAAATCCGTGCGAAACTTAGATAAATTGGTTAATTAGGCCAATGTCTAATAATAAAAATGCTGACTTCTTTACGTGTAGCCGGTGCCTTTTTTAATTTTACCTCTTATGTTTACTTCCCTGGTGTCCTTTGCAGATTGTCTTATTGGTGAGAGGGTACATACATACATGAATTGTGTTTTTTTTTATACTGAGGATTGATTGTGACCTTGTCAAGTACTGGCTTCCAATTTGGAAGGGGGAGATCATGAAGGTTCGGTTCCCTGTTTTCAGAAATTGGCAAGACCCCTAATGTTTTATTAATTTTTAAAATTTGCGAATTATTGATAGGTTGGAGACGGGAAAATGGATGAGAAAAATATTCCATCTGCATTATCTCTCTTTATTTCACAACAAATTGATTTTTTTCTCCATATGCGTGAAACAATCAGAATCACTATAACAAAAAGTTATAAATTATGATATATTTTTTATTTTTATGAGACACATTTTTGTGTCACGCAAATAGAGCGCGAAATATACCAAAAGTATGGTTGGAGCATGTATGTAGAGTGTTTTTCTATACATGTAAGAATGTGATAAAATTCACGACACATACATGTGCTGAGAGTGGTGACACATAGTTGTGTGTGGACCAAAATAATATAAAGAGTATCACCATGTTCAACACTATAACTTCTTAGAAGGTCACCCATTATAGGACTACTCTCACTAAAGCACACATAACTATGGACTTTTTTAAGCTTTTACACTATAATAAATATTTAGTTATCATCGTAATTAAAATCTAATTAAGATTTATTATTTAAGCCCGCTAATAGATCCTCTCACAATCCATGTTGGACAATTAGACTTTTTCAATTATATTTAATTGTATATTTAATAACACAAATATGTGTCATGATTTACCATACTTTTTATTTTTGTCACTATTATTTAATCCTTTGTAAATAAAATTGTACATTTATATATGTGATAAAATAAGTGTGCATACATACAACTTTCATTGCAGTGAGTGTCTCCCATACTAATCCAAGATTTTGGTAAATAAAATATTTAAAAAATTCTAGAGAGAAAGTGTATAAAAAAGATATATAATACCTTGTACCATGATTTACTCCAAACATATAATCTTATTGTTACAATCAATCTACCGTTAAATTTATTTTGTGTGTGTCTATATATATTTTCTCAAGTAATGAAGTTATTTTTTTTTTACAAAGATCAAGATATTCTTGATTCATTTGACATGGCATAGATTTGGTAGGGATGTCCTTTTCTTTGAAGTTGTCTTCATAAGGTAGGGAAACAATATGCTATTTTCTATCCCAAAAAGCATTAAGGACTGTTTTATTAAAACGATCTTCTATTTGAGTTATTAACTCTTTTTTCTTTTTTATTTGTTCTTCTATTTTAACTAATGCTACTTCTTCTGTAAGAAAATTCATCTGTTTTTCTTTAAGGAGAACATTTTTGACAATTTTTGACATATATATATATATATATATATATATTATATATATATAATTTATATATATATATATATTATATATATATATATATATATATATACACACACACACATACATACATACATACATACATACATACACACACACACACATAGAGCAATTCTTATGTCAACTTAAGTGGATGTCACCAAAGTTTCTATCCTCTGTTGCCTAGCTTACATGAATTATGAGATTTATATATAAATGATGAGTGAATTAGAACTTCTGTGTCTACTTAAGGTGACATTAAGATCATCTTCTCTCTCTCTCTCCTCTCATCTGCTCTCTCTCTCTCTCTATATATATATATATATATTTATATATATATATATATAATATATTAATATTATATATATATATATAAATATATATATATATATATATATATATTTATTATATTACCTTACAATCATGTGTAAATGAGAAGTCAATTGCATGAAGTTTTGTTATCAAGTCTAGTTTAAACAGAAGTTTATTCCTTTATGGGGTTCACAATATCTCAACCAACTAACAAAGCTATATATAGTACTCTAATCCATATCAAAGTTCCACAATGACAATTCACTTGGTTCCGCGCCGTCCGCTGTATGCAACATATCTACACCAGACTCACATGGTAATAGCATTTCTTCTAGCTCGAAATCTGTGAAAACTGTGCTATCGACATTGTCCTCTTTTTGGCACGTTAAGTAAAGTTTTTGCAATTCAATCTCAGATGAAAAGCTCTCACCATCCAGAGAAAATCCTCGATCATGAGGAGAGTTTCTATGTTTGCAAGTGTGTTGCAGGTTATAAGTAACGTCGAACTTTGGAGTATTTCCACTCTTCTGTTGTACTATTTTCTTTGCCGGGCACCCTCGTTCTTTGTGATGTACGCATTTGTAGTAGCTCCTGTATTTGGATGTAACAATGTAATATTCCAAACGATACAAGTGTGAAATGTAAACTTAAAAAGACAAAAAAGTAGGGTTTTCCCTCCTTGCTAAATTGAATCTGTTAATTTTTGTTTCCTTTCCTATTGAAAGTCTGTTTAATCTGGAAAATTAACTGTTCGGTTGCAATATATTATACCTCGGAAATGTGGAATTACTGATGTTCTTTTGCCCATACTTTCTCCATTGGTAACCATCATTATGTGGAACGGTCGTCAAAATATTCCATGAATCAAGTCTCCTCCTGCAGTGGAAATCAGAAAAAGAGAAGAAATTGTTACCTAGCTAGAACGAGTGGTAAAAAAAAGGTAGCTCGATATGATTAGAAAATTTAACGAAACAACCTTTTCCCGTGGCTAAACTGTTCATCAGTGTCAGACTCTCGAGAGTTGGAGCATGTTTTGAGCTTAGAGAGAACAATTGCGAAGGATCCAAACGCATCTTCAAAGAGTTCCCTGACGAGCTCAAAGGATGCATCAGCACTAGGAGAAGACAGCACAATTGCGCGCAGCTGGCTCATAAGTTCATGTGCCCGATCAACCTTTTCGATTACAGCGGAGTATCCCCGGGGCTGAGAAACCTCAGATGTCCCTGGAGCCGTTGGAGCAGACATGGTGTTTCTTTCAGAGCAGTATAGTTCCGTTCACGTCCCTTTATAGGCTGTCTTATCGCTGTTGTTAGCATGCATGAATTATTGAGAACACGTAGCCAGGAATTTGTTTTATGTAGTCATGTTTCACATGTTGCGTGTCGGATTCAGAATGTAGAAATAATCCAGTTCACATATCAATATGAAATAGGGCAACAGGCACTGTATGTGAAACGGAGCAGGGGGACGTAGTCTGATATTGGGAAGACTACTCGGGTTCGGGTCATTGATTAAGCACCAATCTCTACTACTACATAGAATATCTACCCTCTGCAGCTGCCATTTGGCAAAGATGACATGCGGGGGCGTATTGATTTCTATCCACCCCCTTCATATCCTCGGAGATTTGAAATTTGAACCACATGTTCTAGGCAAAAAATTTGAGATAATTTGGCAGATTTGAATTCTCTTTTTATACGGAGAAATGATAAAAATTGAATAATTTTTTTTATAAATATTCCAAATCTATTTTTGTTACAATATTAAAATTTATCTTAGTTCTAATTCTACTAACGCCATAAAATTTAATCTCACAAATTACCTCAGTTTAAGTTTTGAGCTCTACTTCACTAACCCAATAAGGTCAATACTGTTGGGATTTAGTATTGTATTTCAGCCTAATTAATAGAATGAGTCAAAATAGGTGAAGAGTCAGCAAAAGACAAATCAACCTGTCGAAAGATGGTGTCTCAGATGTCTTAGTTCTATTTAGCAGATACTAGCACAGTCTTAGAAGTGCTCATAGGTGTCTAATATGACTTCTGAATTTTAGAGCACCAAACAGTGTAATAGGCGCCCATCAATATGTGTTGATTAGGTACTTGAGGAAATTTGTTCGGGGTTAGGATTCATGTTTTCTAGTTTGTCTTTGGATTTAACCACTATTAAAATGGGTCTTCTTGGTCTAGAGTTGACAAGAGAGCTAGAAAGAAAGTTGCTTATTGTAAGAGATTCACACAAGAGAAACAAAAGAGAGAATTACGGTTTTTGAGGATCTTCAGTGAGACTGAGAGAGTTCTTGTGGCTATTAAAGAATACATGAAAAGACAAACCTTGTATAATATCTGGAATAAATAAGAATTAAATCTCTTTCATGGATGTATGCAATTGCCAAGCCACGTAAACATCATGTTTGTCTGATTTATCATTTTTGCGATCTATTGTCATGAGTTTCTGCTTTTTTGAATCTGTTCTATCTCGCGTGCTTCACTATTGCAAAGTGGATAGATCACTCTAGTAAGAATAAGATCTACGTGCATAAGCTTCATCAATGTGTTCTAGAGTTTGGCAGAATTTCAGGTCTAGAAGCCAACCCTGATAAATGCTCTATTTTCTTTGGGGGAGTTGAAGATTCAGATAAGATTTCAATCATAAATCTGCTGGGGTTTAATTTGGGTGAATTGCCTTTTAGATACCTGGGTGTTCCACTTACATCTAAGAGGTTGTCTTCCCTGGATTGTAACCCTCTATTTGCTAAAATTGAAGGACAGTTTAATATATGGCAAAAACATAAAACTCTCTCATATGCAGGGAGACTGCAAGTGATCAAGAGTGTGATATTGGGTATACAAACCTTTTGGTCTTCTAGCTTTGTTCTTCCTGTCAAGGTTATGCAGAAAGTAGATGCATTGTGCAGAAGGTTTTTATGGGGTAAATCAGATCAGAACTTTAGGAACCCACTTGTGTCTTGGGAAAGAGTAATGTTCATAAGAACCAAGGAGGATTGGGTTGTTTTTTGCTCCTATATGAATTATCGCTCTGCTTTGAGATGCATATGTTTTATTCATTACAAACAAAGAATCTTTATGGATTAAATGGAATTCATGGTATCATATTTGAAAAAGTAGAAGACATATGGCCAGGTGATTGCCCAAAAAGGTGGTGATCTATGGACATGGAAAACAATTGCATTCAAGATAGAGATAAAGCTCTTTCTTTCAGTGGGGGCGCAGGGGGGGGCGGGCGCGGTGGAAAATCTGAAGAATATGAATAGATTCCTGCCTATATAGGGGAGGCGAAATCAAGCCTTTCTGCCCTGGTATCAGAGTTTGTATACCCAAGAAGACAAACAATTTGTATTCCATGCGTCAAAGCTTGTTTGGGAGAAGTTTAATATCCCCAAACACCTCTTTCATATGCTGGCTGGCCTATCCAGAACAGACTGTTGACACTCGACAGAATTTCGAGGTGGGGGATCACAAATTCAAACATTTGCTGCTTGTGCTCTGTTTCAGGGGAATCCAGGGATCATCTGTTCTTTAACTGTCAATATTCATGCTATGTATGGAATGATATTTTGGATTGGCTAAAGTGTAGATGGAAATCGAATGACTAGAGTCAATGTCTGAACTGGTTCTCTAACTGCTTGAGAGGTAAAGGAATAACTCAGAAGCTCAAAAGAATGGCCATGGTCTCCACGATATACATACTATGGAGGGAAAGGAATAGAAGACTGTTTCAGGGGATAAGTAAGGGTGCTGATACTGTGATCAAAGAAATCAAGATGGAGATTTTATACATTGCTCTCAATAACCCAGCAAGTGTCAAAGACCAAATGTAAATCTCAGTTGTTAGCGGGTTTTTGGCTTCAGGTTTTTTCCATTTCTTTTGTTACTCAGTTAAGTTTTTAAAACTGAGTTTTCTTGAGGTGTATTAAACTTTCAAATTTTGGTAGTGAATAAAATTTTTCATTCACAAAAAAAAAAGAATGAGATCTACTTTGAGAGATCTGGACATATAGTTTCCGTGCCGATTATGCACAACAATTAGTATCAAAGCCAATAGATCACCAACATATTTCATTAGGATGCATAACGAACAAATTCATGGAGGAGGACTACCACGAGCTACACGTGGATATGTATACATTATTAACTTACATGCAAAAAATTAATCATATCCTCTAAACTAGAAGGCGGATTTTAACATATTATATATTAAAATCGTCTATCTCGACAAAACGGAGTCAATCAATTTGGCAGATTCTCATAATTCCATCAGTATTACCATTTTTTTTTGCAAAATTTCATAAATAATTAGCTTTTAGGTTATTATAAGTGATAAATTAGAGTCTTGTTTAGATTAGAAAATAAATTCAATTTTGATTTAATATGAACTGATTTGTTTCTTATATTATAGATGTTGCGCGTCAGCGGAAGCGTGCGCACAAACCAAATGAGTCATCGAGCAATGAGAGGAGAACAACTAACAAGTGCAATTCACAAAAGAATGACCAAAATCACACACAAACACAGAGATTTACGTGGTTCGACAAATTGCCTATGTCCACGGGGAAAGCTAGGATGGGGAGATTTTACTATATGGAGGAGAAAACAATAGTTTACAACTCACACAAACTCTCAAAATAACCCTAACCAATGATCTCTCCCCTCACTATAATCTCCCTCTCAAAGTGCTCAAATAAATCCAAATTCTCTGATTAAATCCTAGAAAACGTGCTTGCTATATATATAAACACCTAATCTAAAACAGGCTAGGAAAGCAAAACCGGCGCAATAACCCGCTATTGGTCGACCGATGCACCTCTATCAGTCGACTAGTAGGCCTCCATTAGTCGACCGATAAGGATGCATCGGTCGACCGATCAGAACGTGATTTTTAGACCCTGTAGTGTGCATGTTATCGGTCGACTGATCATGTTCGATCAGTCAACCGACCCGAAACTCCCTATAATTTTCTCGCGATCGAATTGGTCGACTGATCAGACCCGATCAGTCGACCGACGAGCCTCCTCCTATGCACGTCTTGTTTTTCTTTGCCGTTTTCAACAATTCTTCATCTCGGCGAAGTGTTCCCAAAAACTGAGTTGACACCAACATGAGCACCAATATGTCATCTCTCCAAACTTGGCTACACTAATGTGGTTGCCTACGTACTTCCTCTCCCAAGGGATCAAGTCGTTCGTAGTTCATCCAAATGGCCTCGAAAGGCCTCAACAAGCACAAATATGCAACAAGCTTCTACAAAGTTTAAACTTATAGCTCGGAACCACCTTCGTGAGCATATCCGTTGGATTATCTTTTGTATGGATTTTCATGAGCTCCACATCCCCATCTTCAAGAACATCTCGGATGAAGTGGTAACGAATGTTGATATTCTTCGTCCTCGCAAGGAAAACCATATTCTTTGCCAAATAGATAGCACTCATGCTATCACAATGAATAGTGATGGATAGCTGCGAAACACCAAGATCCTCCAAAAGTCCTTGAAGCCAAATCACCTCCTTAACAGCCTATGTAATCGCCATGTGCTCTACCTCCATCGTTGACAAAGTCACTGTAGACTGCAAGGTGCATCTCCAACACACCGGCGCAAGGGTCAAAGTGAACACATATCCCGTTGTTGACCGGCACTTATCCAAATCTCTAGCATAATCTAACTCTACATATTCAATACATAGCTGTCCACTACTAGTGTCCCGCTCAAACACAAAACCAACATTGAAAGTACCTCGAATGTACCTCAAAATCCACCTCACGGCATCCCAATGACCCGGACCTGGGTCGTGCATGTATTGTGAAACCATGCTAACTGCCTGTGACAAATCCGGTCTTATACATACCATGTTGTACATAAAACTTCCCACTACGTTCGCATATGGAGTCTTCGACATCAACTCTCTATCTTCAACTGTCTTCGGTGAGAGGTCAGCTGAAAGCTTCAAATGGGCTCCCAAAGGTACACTGACTGGCTTCGTCTCCATGCTCACATTGAATCGCTATAAAACATTTTTCAAATAAGCCACCCGTGCCAAATAAATTATACCCTTATCTTTGTCTCTGTCGATCTCCATCCCCAAAATGTACTTTGCTTCACCCAAATCCTTCATCTCAAACTCGTTCGAAAGCTGAATCTTCAATCATCGTGGATCTAAAAATAGAAGCAACCAACATGTCATCGATATAAAGTAATAAATATATGTACGCACCTCCATACAACTTGCG